GTATTGCAATGTCCACTATCCAGACTTTTTTGTCTTTCTTACCAACAGTTGTTAAGTCTGGTGTGTTGTGTGGCAGGTGCTTGTCTGTAGGAGTTCTAAAGTCCCAAAACACTTTAGCTTCTACATTTTCTATTACTTTGTTTTGTTGTTATTATTATAATCACTATTATTATTATCGAGTAACCACAAACAAGGACCGCCTTCTACTGCGCTCCTTAACATTGTGTGCAAACTGTCATACAATATCCTCAATTTTACATGCTAGCAAAATAATGCTTAGGAACATCCAATGCAGATCAGAGCCGTACATGGAAAAAGAGGTGCCAGATGTTCAAGCTGGCTTTAGAAAAGGCTGAGGAACATGAGACATTATTGTCAATGCACATTGGATAATTGAGAAAGCCAAAGAATATCAAAAAGAAGTCACTATGTGCTTCATTGATTATAGAAAGGCCTTTGATTGTGTGAGTCATGTCAGGCTGTGGAATATGCTCAGAAAAATGGGAATCCCAGAACAACTCATTGTCCTCATGAGAAACATAGATATAGGACAGGATATACTAGGTAATATCATCAGTACTAGTGAGAGGACTGGGGCAAACTAGTGGAGTGGGCAAACTAGGCAAACAGTGCTAGTGAGTAGAGTGGAGCAAACCCCACACTCACTAGCATTGATGATCTTACCTAGTTGGGCAAACAACCAAACTCAGAGAACAGCAAGGACTCCACAAATAAAGTATTTATAGTCATACTTGCCACGGTTGGAAGATGTCAGAAGCATACACAGAAACATATCAGAGAGTTTTATTCAAAGAAGAGATAGAATAAAATATACTTCATTTTCTGTGCAGAAAGCAACATGTAAGGAGGGAATAAATTAGTCTGAGTCACTTGGGAAGAAGCCATTATTTTATCTAATACACTGTCTGCTGGCTGCCCTTATTCTGTGGGCAAGAGTGAGGAGTGGATACAAATATTAGACTGCACTACAAGCTTAGGACTGTTAGAGTGTTGGTTCAGCATTTTCAGAATAGACACAATCACCTTATGGTATGAAGGCTTTGTTACTGATCTGTAGCATCAGTAAAAGTTGACCTGAATCAACCTGGACATCGGTGAACCATTCAAACTTTGCAGTAGTAGGAGAGGATTTTCGTCGCAAAGTATTTCTTGGAAAAACACAGGCTTTTGGTACTATTTTTTAAAAATGTGTGCAAATTGGAGCGTGCGACTGTCTTGTGTTCCCTGTGATCTTTTCCTGAGGCAAGAAGGGAAGTATGTGAACTGGTGATTGCTAGGCTTCATTTCTGTTGCAGATGTGAAGTCCCAGTTTAGAAGCAGAGAACTGTAGAGAACTTGGAGGACACCTGGTCAAGCTCTCTGCTCAGTGCTGGCTATGAACTAAAGAGTGCGCCTGCTTAAAAACACTTCCAAAGAAGGTGTCTTGGTTGCCTTCCCCTGGATAGTCTCAATTTTTTAATGTTAATCTTAAAATGTGCTGCTTACAGGAGGAAAAATTATAGAAAATTCTAATGCGTAAAAAGTAGTAGATAAGAGTGCTTCTTACAGATGTCCAGTTCTCACTGCAAATCAGAAAAGAGGGGAGATTGGAAGGAGGAGAATTTGCCAGTAAAAGCTAAACCACTGCTCTGGAATTGCATCTCTGGCAAATGTAATGCAAAAGATTCCATTCTGTTTTTTCAAAAAGCTAGATGGTGCAAACAGTTCAGTCGAGATATAGTCTGTAAGAAGTATGAACGATATCTGCACTAAGCCAAAGCGAGATAACCTTGGCTGAATATCTCTGCTCTACATTAAAATCAAAGAGACTGCAAAAGACAAGCTGGTAGCTGTGGAATTGCTGATCTTGCTTAAACTGCCGTCAATGCATGCTGGTTTTTTTATGTGCAATTTGCATTACAATGCATGTTTTCATTTTCAAAACAGCAGGCATTTTTGTGCACTTTCCTAAATAAATTCATTATCACCATCATAGTCATCATCATCTTGATCTGTCTGTCAACAGGCCAGCCTGGTTAACTTCCTGTCCCCAGATTTCATCTTGAACTGAAATGGAGCTGGTCTTAATAGCAGAATTCCATAACAAACTAAGGAGTGCTACCAATTTAGCATGACTGAAAGCCAACACATTTGTCTCTTATTGGAGTTGTGGGTGGGAGGAGGAAGAAAAAGACCCTGAAGAAGTACCAATAGCTCAAACCTCTCCATTTATGTTAAAAAGAAAGATTAAAAAGCAGGCTCCTTGATCTAAGTCAACATTTCTGAACCAGGATGGCAGAACATGTTATATTTTAGCACTGTTATTTTAATTACTAGATTAAATAATATTAATTGTTTTGTTTTATAGATATATATAAATGTAAGATGGTTGTTATTGTATACTTTGTATCTGGCCTTAGGGCTGTAATAAACGTGTGTGTGTAGAACGTGTTATCACATAATCTGTTTTCTTCATATTTATTTATAATGTGCCAGCTGAATCTGTCATGTGGACGTATGGATTGCTGGGGGAAGCCAAGAGAATCTAAACATTCCACAGAAAATCTTTTAAAGAGGTATTGTGTGGAATTACCAGAATTGGGTATTTTGTCTATATCGAAGAAGATCTTGCTATTTCTTGGTGACCCTTGAGTTCTGTATTTCCTTGGGAGAAGGGCATAAATGAGTAGAGGGGTAGGCAAACTTTTGGGGCCAGTGGGCACCTCTGGAGTTTTGAGAAGACATCACAAGGGCTATCACAGAACCTCTGTGAGGAGAGCTTCCTTATATGCCAATGACTGCTGTGACCATTGACAAAATAGCCTGTTACCCAAAGAGCAAACTGCTGAGGTTGCTCCTTGTTATTGGTTCTAGCTTCTCTACTAAGACTATGGAAAGCAATTGAAAGAGTTGCTTTGCCAAGAACATGAGGACAAAGACCACTGTAGCTGCCATCTTGACTTTTTTAACCTCTCTCCCTGCGAACACCGCTGTGTCTTTCTGGCTGCCTCCATATGCATGGATGACAGAAAGTCTCTGGACATCCTTTTTTTTTAGTTGTGTTTGAGATGTGTGAAGTTAGGGCGTTTGCAGGAGCCATGGCCTTTACACTTTATCTCATGTGCTGTTTTTCATCTCTGTGGCTTGGAAAATTAGGTTGTTTATTTTAGAATATGTACCCCACTGCAGACTTATAAAGATCCCTCCAAGTGGCTTACACCATAGCATTAGACTACGAATCCACAATAAATAAGATTGAAAGCCCCTTAACACAGCACAGGCATTCCAAATAGCAAACCAAAACGCAGATGCAAAGAAAAACAGTATGCGAGCCGCAGGTAGTGCAGCAATTAAAAATCCATCATACCCCTGCAAATGTTTTCTGGAATGAGAAATAGGCATTGCCATTTCAAAATAGAGCAGAAGAGATGGCTTATCAAGGTGGCAATTTCCAAACACCAGTATTGCTCTATTGAGAACTCTTTATTCTTGTCCCTCTCCGTTTGACAAGATGTACAAACAAATGTGATGACCTGCAATAAAAGAATGCAGGCCTGGTGGCTGAACATCTTGAAAAATTAAATGCTTGCTGTGATAAGAGTCGGTGCTCTAATTTGAATCTTGATGTGTGTGGTGTCTAAGTACGAAAATGCATCTGGTCCATAGTTCATGAGCGTTATAGTATGGCCTGGGAAGAAATCTGAAGAACTATTTATATAAAGTTATTTTTTGCTATAGTCTGAAAGGTCTGGGAAATTTCTGACTGGAACTGTAAGCGCCTTCCATCCAGCTCCCATTTTATCCACTGTCCCTCCAACCCACCATTGGATGGCCATCTTAACAGTGGGTTACACTTCCAGGCTGCAATATTTTATTTTCTGAGCAAACTCGACCTGCACAACTATCCCGCTGTGTGTTTTCATGCTGCCTAGCGATCCTTTTATATAGGGAGAAGCTACAAACCCTTTTAACATACTAAAAGATTTAGTATAGGTCTATGGTGTGTGCTTCTGGATTAAACTAACGAGCAGCAAGAGAACAATATCTGTCTTAACAGAAATTAGTGTTGGGAGTGGGGTGAAGGAGAAGAAAACAGAGTTGTCTACCTATTTAAGAGCCCTATTTTCCCACCATCATGATCCTTGGGATAACTATAACCCTTCCTAAAGGGGTGGTTCCAGACCATGATGGGGGAGGGGAGATTGGGCTGCAGGTTGCTACAGGGTTCAACAGTCTCCTTGCTCCTATTCAACACCTACAGGAAGGCACTGGGTGAGGTCATTTAGCAACATGAGATCAAGTGTCACCAGTGCTTTATGTCTCAACCTGGGTCAACCAAGTGATGATGTTGAAATTCTGTCCAAGGGCTTGAAGGCTGTTAGGGTCTGGAGGGAGAGAAACAGGCTGAGGCTTAATCCCAGCAAGATGGAGTAGCTCTGGGTTCATGGAATAGAATGTGGGAATGATCTTGGGAGACAGGAGGAAGACTCACAGCCTAGGCAACGGTCTGATAAGACGCAGCTCAGTCTGCAGGTAGGGGAAAAGCATGGGAAGCATTTCAGAAGGAACGCTCCCTAGTTTTCTGAAGACTAAAAAGAGAAGAGGGGAGAAATACTTTCAATCTTGCAAGATTCTGTTAATGTAACCTTAGAATAAAGAAGGATTAGTTCATCTGGGTGTGCTTCTTGTCTGGTCTGCCTCGCAAGGCTGACACTTCATAAGCTATCAGATTCTGGAGAAAAACCGTCTTTAGCTCTAGATGGGTTGCATTTAGTCTTTGAATTGTTGCGTGAATTTGGTTTCTAGTTTGAATTTATGAAGATGGGGAATTGGTGCAGCTTCTCTATGAAGGTGCAGAGAGGTATGGTGGGTGTACTTTGGATCCAAAGTGCGGCACATCCCCAGTAAACAGTAAAAGTTACACGAAGTAATGCTTTTAAATTCTGCCTGAAAGTTGATTCCTTCCTTACATAAATGATCTAACTGAAAAAAATATGTGTGTTTGTTTTCACAGAAGCACCATTGAAACCAGAAGAAAATCCTGCAGAGGCGTTCATTGATTCATCCCTCTTTGCTCACTGGGGCCAGGATCTCAGCCCTGAGAACCAACGAATTGCCCTTAAACAGTTCCAGTATTATGGTTACAATGCCTACCTGAGTGATCGTTTGCCGCTGGATAGACCATTGCCTGACTTTAGACCTATTGGGTAAGAAGGAACTTTTGGAAGTCACTTGACGTATTTTATCTAAAGAAGAATGTAAAAATGGACTAGATTGATTGTTTGTTTGTTTGTTTGTTTGTTTATTTATTTATTTATTCAATTTCTATAGCCACCCATCTGAATCAAACTGACTCTGGACGGTGAACAATTTCACAATAATTAAAACCATTACAATTACATATATAGGCAGCTGAGAATTATCATAATAATTACATAAACATTAACAGTGGAACCAGATAACGGGCCCCTGACACTTTTGGGACCCCAGGCTTGGGCACAGAGCCGCGTTTTTAAAGCTTTATGAAAGGCTAGCTGGGTTGGGGCCATCCTGAGCTCCAAAGGAAGAATGTTCCAAAGATATACTGTATATAAATGCTCCATCTAATATTCAATTTTTAATGACTTGAAAGTTATTAAATATTGCAGGTATGATCCAGTCAAAATTTATTGCGTTTAGAAACTGTTGCTTTTGGAAAACTAAATAGATGAAATTTTGCATAATGAAATTAGCATTATTTATAGCTTTGTTTATTTTCTAAAGAGAAAATAAATGCAATAATAAATGCTAGCAGAGCTGGTGGTTCACTTTTTTCTTCTTTTTAAAATATTGCATGCCATCCTTCAAAGCTGGGAGTTTCCAGGGCTTTTGAAAATGCATTAAAATTATAATCTTTTTTTTAAAAAAAGCCTAAAACAATGCTAAAGAATATATATAGGCTTCAGTGAAGGCCATATAGTAACTCTGATTAAAAGTTACCAAGCCATGGGTTAGTGAAGCAAGTTTTTTTGTGTTCAGGTACAGTGATATCTAGTACTCTAACAAGCTGATAAAAGACATTTTGTAATCTCCAAGCTATGAACCTGATCTTTTAGAAAGAATCCAATTCTTTCTCTTCTTTCCAGAAGAGATGGAATGATAAACCGTCTACTGACAGCAATTCTGTCTTTTTTGGGCAGAACTTCTTTTTGGCTCTCAACCAAGCACTGAATAAGCATTTTCTCCTCCTCCTCACTTGGATCTGATAAAAAGGAGAGAGAGAGCTGCATGTTATCAGCATACTGATGACACTAAACCTCTGGATGGTTTCACTCAGCAGTTTTGTGAAGTTGTTACACTTTTGGAATAAAATAGAATCTTGTGGAACTCCACAGTGTAAATGCCATAGGGCTGAACAGAAATCTACCACTACCATCTTGTGGAGAAAGCTATCTAAATATGAGTAGAAACATTGCAAAGCTCTTCCACCCACACCTAATTCAGGCAACATCTCCAGAAAGATAACTATGGACACGGTACAGAAAGCTGCTGAAAGTGATAGAAGAATCATAGGATTATGATTTTCTATCTCTTGCCTACAAGCACGGGGTGACTATGCAGATGTAATAATGCACTGTAATTAATAAAAACCAAAAAATAAAATTTTGTACTTCATAAGAAAATGGGAATATGTGAACCCAAAACTTCCTTAGAGTATCAAGGTAAAGGCTCTTGTGAATAAAGCTTGTCTCCTGGTAACTGCATGACACATTCAGGGGGAATCGGTTTGCCATTGCCTTCTTAGGTTTATCTATGGTAAAAGAGTTTGTAATGTGCTCTCCTCCTTTATGGAGAAAGAGTGAGTCAGGTCAGAACTTGATCCATACAGGTCAGGGATAGAATAAAGAAGAGAACTCAACTGAGAAGGAACATAAGTGATGGTAACCCTGAGAGTGTCAGTCTAGAAGGCATGTTTTAGAATAGATCTTTCATGGACAGTATGTCTTTTAGGAAAGGAGATAGAAGAGCAGAGTCTTTCAGATACCTCCACATCTATTGCCCTGGTGGTCAGCAGATGTCTTGGTACAGAAGGCAGCGCATGGAAAGTTCAATTCCATCACTGGTTAGAATTAGACATACATATTACACACAACTCATCCCCAATCTCTCCATCTATGTCCACATCTGGGTGAGGCATTCGAATATTTACACATGTAACATTTTTAAACATGCAAAGTAATGTATTCCTATACCATTATGCCAGCATCAGACACATCCTACCACCACATTTTGTAGCAAGTTGCTGTTTTTAGACAGTTTGATTTTTTCTGTTATTTTTTAAAAAATAAAATAAGAAGTAAAATAGGTATGTTTAACCACCTCTACAAAAAAGGCTTGAAAACGTTGCTCCTATCCTCTTCAGTGGTATAATCCTGCATTGTCCTACAATCCGTGGAGAACTTAACACAGTGCAGTCTTCTCACCACAAATAGCTCTCCAGCCTTGTGATAAGCCATAATTAATCATAATGCTGAATGCAGCTAAAAAGTCTGTATTTTTCCTATTAAAAGTTAGTGCAGTGGTTCTGTTATCTTTCTTTTCCTTTCTGAGGAAATTCTAAAAGGAATTGCAATATGGGAAGAAAGCCTGTTTTTTTAGTAGTAGCTCATTTTATCTCAGAAGGCAGTGATTAAAAAATTAACTTTGATTAAAAAAAATTCAAAGTCCCTTTTTACTTTAGTTTACAGGGTGCCTAAAACAGATTATTTCCTCCCAACATCCCACATCTATGGCTGGTGTGGGTCTTCCGGGCTGTGTGGCCGTGTTCTGGAAGCTGATGTAGTGTTTTAATTGCTAATAATGCCATACTCTTTAACTGTGCTAAAAATTAATTTTTGTGCCCTTATTAATATATCTGTTTCATAAACACATTTAGAAAACTGATATTTTAGAAGATGGAAAATACAACTTGCAATGGATGTTGTAATTGGAAGTTTCTGTGCCCATACAAGGAATGAAGAGCAATGGTGAGAGAGCGGCTCCCTGGTGGACATCTATGCCTATCTACATAGGTGTCCAGCTGGGATCTCCTCTCTCACCATTGCTCTTCATTCTCTGTATGCATACTGTGACCAGACACCTCCATTCATAACACCTATGGATGCTATTATATGCTGATGAATGTTGTGATCATCAGCAAAACACAAAGCAGTCTTGAGCAACTAATATAGGAATGGAAGATGTGTCTCAATGACTTTGGAATGAAGCTCAATATTAAGAAGACTAAACACCTTAAATGTGATGTCCAGACCTATGGTACACTCAAAACTGATAGTACTGAGTTAAATAGGATGACCCAGTTCAAATACCCTAGGTCATACATGACTTCTAGCACAGTGCTAGAAATATGGGTCAGTGCTGCCTGGATGAAACGGCATCAGGTTTTAGATGTTCTGTGTGGTAAAATAACAACAACAACAACTCTTTGCATCTGAAATTTAAGGTCTATTGAAAAGTCATCTGAACCAAAGCAGTGCATAGAGTGGAATGTCAGCCAGTGATGAAGACACACGAGTAGGCTCTCTTCGCTAATAAGATGAGAATGCTACAGGGGTCACTTGGCATAACAAGACTAAGCCGTGTGACAAATGAAGATGCACAGAAAACCCTTAGTTTTGCCCCCATTGTTGAGAAAATGCAAGAAATCATACCTAGCAGCAACAACTCCATAGCAAAAATATTTCTTATATGAAATGTAGAAAGTTGCTGGCCAAAAGGACAACCAAGACCCTGCTAACTTGACTGATTAAAAGATGATGCACGCCTTGTGAAACTCAGCTGTAGAGATGCTGCAGACTGTGTGAAATGGTATGCACAGTGGAAATGAGCAGACCGTGCAACCGAGTAGGACAGGCCCTAAGAAGAAGAGGAAGTAGAAGACAATGACAACTTTGTTTCAGTGATTATCACATTATGAAATTGATCATGAGAAGAATCCATGTATCTAATGCATGCAATATTATTACTTCTGTTACACAGGTAAAATCATTGAAAGAAACTAACCTTTGTTCAAGGGACATGTCTGGTGAGATGCTTGCTCATATCTCAAGTAAAACTAAGGTGTTGGTGTGCTTGAGAATAGATTAAAAGATGGGGTATTTGAAGCATTCTATTAGATATTCATTCCAGTCTGTATCTATTTAACAGCATAATTCTGAACAATCTGTCTCCTCTTAAAAATTGTACATTAATTTAGAAAAAGTCTAGTGTTAACAAGACATCTGTGCTTGAATGTAGACCTGTCTGTTCTTATTTTCCTTATCAAATTATGATCCCCAAGATTTTCAGTGAAAGGTTTTATAGTTCTCACTATAAAAATTTAGACAGAAAGAAAAAATGAACACAATATTACTGGGGAAATCTTACTGGAAATTGCGATTTTAAATAAGTACCAAGTAATAAACATGCTGGCTGTAGTTTTCATGAAGAAAAGAAGGAAAATTGATGTAAAAGAGACTGTAATAAAGAGATTGTAACTAAGTCTCAATGCTTTTTGATAAGGTACCTCTCTGTAAGGGACTGAAAAAATAAATGAAACAACATTCCTAAAAGCCAGTTTGGTGTAATGGTTAAGGCATCAGGCTAGAAACCTGGAGGTTGTGAGTTCTAGTCTTGCCTTTGGCACAAAGCCTGCTGGGTGACCTTGGGCCAGTCACTCTCTCTTAGCCCTAGGAGGAAGAAGGCAAGGGCAAACCACTTCTGAAACCTTGCGAAGAAAACTGCAAGCACTTTTCCAAGCAGTCACCAGGAGTCACTTTTGGTGACTTGAAGGCACCAAAAACAAAAAACAAAATATATTCAATGGGTTTCAGGTACACATAAAACACATACAAGCTACCCATTAGACAATCATAAAATAGTACTTTGAGTAAGTGAAAATGTATTGTAAGGATCCTCAAGTAATTCATCCATTTAGAACCCTATGATAGATCCCAAACATGCAGTCATAAAGTGATGTATTTCTGTGGCTGAGTCAAAATCACTCATATTAATCACATTTAATGAAATGAGTCTAGGTAGCTTATTATACAAATATATAAACATTAAAAACCACATGTAAACAATTGTGAAACAGCAGCATAGATCCCTAAAAGTCTAAACGCCTTGAGTCAAAATGATAGACTTTAGACTACTGGCTAAGGAGAGGGCTTGCTTTAATTCCAGCAGC